TTGCTGAGACATGCTAAGGGGCCATTGGTACCAAACATGCAAAGGTTTTCACCATCGCATTGATGTACTCATGACAGGGATTGAATCTTTTGGTGCTTGCACCTGCACCTCAAGCATGTGGTCTTCATCAGTGTCTGGAGCCATTTTTGCCCAAAGTACTGCTTTCCATCGTGTGAAAGACCATGTTGTGAGCCCTGGCAAGACACACAGGGTTCGGACATTGATAGATATCAAGACCCCATGGCCTTGTGTCCTTGAAGTTTGAGTAGGCTAAGACTCAGGTTTTGATGATATGCTCCCTAGTATTGGGTTTGCCCTTCACAGCCCAATATTCTGCGTACAACAGCATGACAGAGTATTGTTCAGGGCATGTTTGTCTTGGTCAAATAATGCTTGCAACGCAGCCCAAATACCCATGTCATACATGAACACATTTTCGACGAAGCAATTGAGTGCAGAGATGATAAGAGCATTGATGGTCGTTACTCCTGCAAAGCAGAAAACAAAATCAAGATATTCCTGATGTGTACAATGTCAGCTACAATGTCAACAAGATTGAAGCAGTCACTGACATTTCTACCAAACATTTCAGGTGTTCGACGCTCTTGCTGACTCTCCCAGTTGAACCACAGGAGGAAATGACAATCCCACAAATGAATGGTCCCACAGTCAAGGTGGTATTGATTTTCCCAATGTGTTGTGAGGTGACCCAGAGATTATTGCCCAGATAGTTATGTAGCAACTAGGCAGAAATGATTAATGACAATATGCACTTCATGTGGTGCCATGCTGAATAACATACTTCATGCACCAGAATTGAATTTGAATTAGCAGCATTTACAGATACCACAAGGTTCCCTGTGGCGGTGTCAGAATGTGTGTCTATAAAAATTAGTAAGTTGCCATGATACTTCATGCTTTCAAGCCATTCGAAATTGGGTGTCATAGCCTTGGACGGTTGTTGCCAGCTTTCAATTTATGTGATGTGATACGCAACTATTCCTGTCTTACTGAATATCCCTGAAGCTTCTACTAGTATCATTCATCATCAGTATATTGATTGTTTCCTGGAAAGGATGTGACACACCAGGAGTGGCTTTCCACATGCTCTATAACATTGTGGACAGAGAAAACCTGCTGGCATCAACATTGACCACCAGGGTAAGCTCATCTGGGGTCATATCAATGCACCCATGATTGCCTTGTGCCTTGGCAATGCAAGCTAATATTCCACAATCTGGATTGGTGCACTTCCAAATGTATGTCCCAATGTCCTGGCAGTATATGCAGTGCTGTGATCAAAGTCAGCATGTACTAATAGTCAGCAGTACAGTACATACCAAGATAGGATCTTGTATTTATTCAACTGCTGAATCAGTGGAACAGAGATTCAATGTCCATCTTCATTTCTGCATCTTCATCTCTGTCACTCAGAATTGGAGTCAACTGTTAATAAGGTGAATTGAGGGACTTGGCATCTGCCTTTTTTTGCTGAAGCTCCCCTTGAATTGCTGCATCTTGTTGCACTCTCTTGGAGGCTCCAGACTTTGGTTCAGGCACTTGTGGAAGAGATTGTGAATGAGATTTGGCAGCATGTTCAGTATGCGTGAAACTTCCACATATAGTCCTTCTTTGTCCATATCTTAAACTTACTGTACAATCTGCAGAAAATGCTGGTGAACCTTAATGTTAACTAAACCTACAGCTACCATCAGATTAATAGACAAGAATCCATTGTTGTTCATTCACCCACTTTTGTTTACTTGTGAAGCTGGACAAACAAAAGGGTCCCACCTGTTACAATATTTCATAGGGCCAAACATCCCAGAATTGCATTGGACTGTGTGACTTCCATGATAAGGTACCAAGTGAACAAAAGAGGTGAATAAACAAAAATGGATTGTGGTCTATTGGTCTGAGGGTAGCTGTAAACTTGTTTGTCGTCCACAAATTTGAACAATGTGAAGTGAGGTCAGCCAGCAGCAAGAATATCAATGACATAATACAAGTGTCAGTTGAATGATATAACCATGTGACTAGTCCCAAATTTGAACAATTGCACCATGTTGAATAATTGCGATTCGACAAGTGTTGAGGACTCACAGGTGTGATGATTGATAAAGTCAATTCACCATACCTCTGGCACATTTCTTCTATCATTAAGCCTGCTTTGACAATTTCAGCACATGATTTTGCAGGCTATTTTTTGACTCACAACATGTCATCCACCATGAATCCAACAAATACACTACTGAAAACCCCATTGTTCTCAACATCAAGTTGCATGGTCTGTTGGTGACACAACAGGTTATGACCAAAGCCATTGAGTTACACATCAATCACAGCAGAACTAAACTAACACTTATCATTGATGCAAAACCAGTGTGTAATTATTGTCTGCCATCTCTCTGAGTGTTGAATGAGATATCACATCATAGTGCAACATTCCACCTCAATACCACAATGCTATGTGGCGCCTTCTTCACCATCGCAACATCTATCAAAGGATTGCCAGTAAGCTAATGGAGTATCTGGACCTGCATGTCACCAAGGACACCTACACATCTATCATGTATTATTACTGCAATATGCTGTTAGCATTTGTGGAAGAAGTGAGCGATAATTGGCGATGGAGCAACAAGTTGTGGTGCTCAGTACACCTAGACTATCATTTCACTATGGCAATACATGATAGTGCTTTTATTGAGCCCATGCAAGCAAATGCACTACGAAACATGGATCATACTTGGGATGATTTTAAATGCAAGAAAATCTACAAACCTGTCCTGGACCATATGTTAATATTACCTATCCCAATCACTGATTGTATGCTAATATAGTCAGGAAGTCACTGTTAACTCATACCACACGCAATTCTGCAATGAGAAGAACATGTGTGGCGTTCCAAACATCAAGCACAAGCATTCAGTAGATGACATGATTACATCCATAATCCAACAAGTGATTCAAAGTACACCAAAGCCAGCAGGGGCAGCTCAGGCAATGAAGGAGGATCACACTCATTCTGAAACCAATGCAGTTAAGGCCACAGTGGGGAAAATAGATTTTGTGATGTCTGACAGCAGATCCTCAGACAATGAAGACAATGATATGCACAAGGCAACCAATGTGACGATCATGTTCAGGCTGGCTTGCTAGGACCCCATTCTGCAATCCCCACCCAGTCTGCACATCTCCTACCCATCTCTGATGTTTTCCCGCTATCTCTGCATCTCCGATGCATCAGACCTGCTTGGAGATCCTGTGCACTTGCCCTACCATGTCCAGTCCAGTCCTGCTTAACCCCACTGGTGCATAGCCAGTTACTTCCCATTACTGATTGAGTAGACAGCATTATTACATGGATTCCCACTGGCCACAGTACCTCATGGCCTTTTACCTACATATTATTGGACCTGCATTTTTGCTACTACTTTCACCTATGGACTCTGGACTTTCACATAGCTAGTTATATAGGGTTGGGCAACCAGAATTACAAACACCACTTAGTAGGAGGGAGAATTCCCTGATACCGGTCACCCCATACCTGTCCTTAGAGTTACCCTTGCCAATATACCTGTTTACCTGCTCTCTTTGACCCGACATGAGTGTCACTCATTCATCTGACGTTCCCTAGCATCTCCAAGCTAGTCCTGATGCATTCCCTCCCTTTCCCTTTCTCTCCTGCCATCTCCACATCTCCACACCTGTGGACCTGATTTCCTGTGCACCAGACTTCATCCCATACCTTCGGACTTGATCTCTGACCTTCGGACTTTTGACCCTTTGTGTAGTACTGATTATTGAACTTGACTAGACAGCAGATCCCTCAGGTTGAACATTCTTGCTTGCAGGTGTAGCAGCTAGGCAGGACTAGTAGACATATATTAGCTAGGTGTTCTAACAACTATCTAGCTAAGTTGTGTTATCCACACCAATTTGGTTGATCTGAAAGAGGATGGATTGAGTTTGCAGAGAAATCAGAAAGGCAGTCATCTCAGACAGGTTTGTTTGTCAATATGCAGGAATGTTACTGATTGTGCGATGGAATATTATCTAGGCTGCCCACATGGCTTCTAGCAGGGATGACAATGTGATTGATATGTCATTTATATCACTCAAGACACAAGAAGTCCACAACAAAGTGAGAATGGCTTGCAAAAGAAATGTACATGTCATCTGACATACACTTCATTCACTGATATTGTGAATCATGCAGGTCCCATGCAAGGCATCGCCCATAGAGGAGGATAAATTCAATCAGGCTGCAGATGTGTTCGAGTCAAATGAGGATGCATGTAAAGGCCAGAGAAATCAGAAAGGTGTCCATCAAAACAAGGTTAGTGTCATGTGCATTGTCTACATGTCTTCAACATCAGTTTATCTTCAGCATACTATTGGAAGTGCAATGTCAGATTGACAATCCAGCAAGGTATGTCTCAATCTACATACATGAACCTCATACCAATTTGGATGGGTCCAATACATCAGGGTCATTCCAACTGTCCATCAAAAAACACCACCACCAAGGCAAAACAAAAGGTGATTACTATTCTGGACTCTGATGATGAGGTTAGTGTATTGATTCAGGAGTAACAATTGATAGGATTCACCCTTTCACCAGGGTACTGTCAGTGAAATCATCATTGTGGCTGACTTGGAGGAGGAGGTAAGCATGCTTATATATCACAAGGAACATGCATGGTCAAGAATGTCTCTCAGGATCTCGATGCAAATGTCAAAATACAGACATCACAAATGGCTATGCATCCACAGTCTGGTGCTATCAGGGCTGACACAAAGGGCAAAGGAAAGATGATCTTACTGTCTGATGATTCTGATGTTTGTTTGTCAATCCATATGTTGATTCACTCTTAACTCATTGCATTAACAAGGTTGAATCTGGTGATGCTGCCTGCCCTTCTCCTCTACAGAGTGCTTGAAATATGACAGAAGTATCAGAACCAACGGTCACATGAACCCCGCTGCCTGCAGGAAGGTCTCAAGTCAGTTTTATATTCACCTACATCTTGCTGGTACATTGACCAATGAACTCTTATGATTTTCTGCAGTGGATATGTAGTGTGATGGATGGACAGTCTCATATAGATCTACCACCAGTCACTGCCGTCAGCTGTTCCTAGATGTTCATCAGCAAATGTATCATCTAACATTATGCAGGAGGATCTTCAACACTTCAAGGACACTGACTTTCCATCGATGTTTGAAGACTGGGAGGAATGGAATCACATTGTGCTTCAGAAAGGGAACTCACAAGTGTTCCTCAAACTTGGGACATGGATCTTGCTTCAATTCAGACAGCTGATGGAGACTCCCATTCATGGGTATGTTGAGGGACTTCTGATTCTGGACCATCCTGCGGCTTTTGACATCAATAATGAGGTGGACTACTGGGAGGCACTCAGGATGACACATCTTTATTCTGCACTGACCCATGTGGACACACATCCAGAGTACCTCTCCCATCTGTTCCACAAACTTGGGAAGGCATCATGTGAGGGTCAGTTGGAAAGTAGCAACCCTGGCTTGAGGCCACTTCCTGAACTGCCAACTCCTGTTCTTAGGTGTGTATTTCCATGCCTAAATTGCACAACTAATTCTCCTTATAGTATGATGGTTAACAAGCAGCTGCCATGGTTGAAGGTTCTGCCATTCAAAGATTTCCTTGACTCTGATGATCCAGATGCTAAAGGTGAATCTGATGATTGGGATGGAGACACATCCATATCATTAGTGCTTGAGGACATGGTGATTTCTGGAATGCAAGATTTATTGGATGAATTGAAGGATCAGGGCATACCAAAACACAAGAGGACCACCTCCACAGTGGTATCACCCCCCAAGGTGACATCACTCAGTTGTAATTACCCTTTTGTGATGATTGTTCCTTACAAATCATATTGTCTCAATAGGCTGACAGTGGTTGAGGATATCTGAAGTGATGTAGGGCCAATCATGCTCAGTCATTCCATCATCCCTCCTCGCCTGTCATCCAACCACCTATGGCAGGATCACATACCAAGGCAGTCAACAGTGGGTCCACACAGGTTGCGGGTGTTCCTATTGAGGTACATTTCACATCAAAACCATGCAGGTCATTCACAATGGCTGATAATGATTGTGATGAGATACTATCAGGATCTGCGACGACATCCGATGCACATGTCATACTTCCCAGTCCTGTGGATGATGATGGGGCTGTCCATGACATCAGTGCATGGACCAAGAGCAATGATAACTCTCGCATGCACATGTCATCTCAGTCAGAGGCTACCAATGTGTCAGAGAATGTTGAAGATGACAGTCAGGACATTGTTCATGCTGTTGACATGGTTGATGTGGAGACTGGAGATGGAATGCGCAAGTTCAGTGCCATATCTGAACCACCCACCAGTCACACATCAAATCTTGATGAAGATGTGAGGGTCCTTGCTCCTTCAACACCAGAATAACTTAATGAATTCTGTAGGAGTGGTTCATGAACATGTCAGGCAGATCACTGGCTCAATAGTTTCTTTCCTCCAGTTGACTCTCCATGCGTTGAATTCATACATTTGTACTCAATCCCTTACTTTCTTTGTTGATCAATCCATATCAGTGTATAGCATTATGAATGGAAAAATAGAGCTTAATGGAATCCTTCATGACTGTGCATGTGTCATTTCCTCAGGACAGATTTGAGTGAATATGAAATGCCTCAGAATGTATCATAGCTCCACTGAATGATGCATTGTCACTCACCCACTGTGAATGCAACTATATAGCACAAATATTCACAATGGTCAAAATACACCAACTTTGTTACACTCAACAATGTTGTTCTGAAACCCCATGCATTCTTCTGCAACATCATCATATATTCTCTGAATTGCCACAGAGAGTCCACATGAGATCAGATTGATTTCTACCCTGGAGAAACATGAAAGAGCAAGAAATAGTATGTGTTTCACAGAGCATCCAGACATTCATGCTTTAAGCCACATAGTGCTTTCCCCATGTGATCACAAACAGAGATTGAGCAACTGTGTGCTTTATAAAACCATATAGCAGATCTAATACAGCTTTTATGCTCTTCCCTGAATGTTCAAGTACAGTGATGTCCATCAATGTGCATCTGTTAAGGTCATACTCAAGGGATAACTAGATCTGAAGGGCTTCGGCCTCAGCTCATGCACTGTGCCCCTTACCCAAGTATTGCCCCTTATTTCAGGAAGGCAAGACTAATGTGTCCAGAAGGTCGGATGAGTAGCATAGTGGATCCGGATGACTTCCAGATGAGGGATAAGTATCATAGGGCTAATCCAGATGAGTCCAGACTAGAAACTAACAGTAATGGACTGTCGGAGACAGAGGCGGATACAGATAGACTATAGGAATCAATCCTAAGTCTTGGAGGGTGACGAGAGTAGAGATACTCAAGTCTGGAGGACAGGAATGAGTAGAACTAAGATGATATTTGAACTGAGGTACTACAGAAAGTTACAGGAGGTTATATACTATAGGTATCTAATGGAATGATCAATCAGCAGAGTCTGAGGCTATGTATGAAGCATATGGATAGTCTATTGGTAAGTAGAAACAGATCACAAATCATGAAATGGAAATGAAACATAGGTAACGGGTCAGGGAGCAGGACAGATATACAGATAGCCAATATACTGGAGTTAGGGGATTTGCTGAAAAGAGACGAGCACTGGTTGTGGATTTGGATGAATTGTGGACCAGACCAGATGAGTGGACAGGATGGATGACAAGATGTTGGAGGGAGATAAGATGTGGATGAGATTGGAGATAAGATGTGGATCGGATCTGAGATGAGATAAGGATCGGATCTGAGATCTGGATATGTGGATATGACAGCATCACTACATTCAGAGTGCATGACATCTACTGAAATCATCAGATATGTAACTGAAATATCTATTGCTCCTACTTGCTTCCACTAGTGTAGAGTGCTTTGTACAGTAGTGTGTCTACCATGAAGGTACATCAGTGGCTCAGCTTATGTCAGCATTGATGACTAAATCCAATACATCTCAATTCTGCCACCATTATTTGGCTTCACTCTGGATCATTGATTCTTAACCATCACTGTATCAAAACCTTCTTTACACTAAAAATAAACAACATTTGAATGTCACATTTGCTCTGTATCATCAATTATTGACAATAGCAATTGAAGAGGAGCCATACTACACGCAATCAGCACCATCTCAATGGACTCTACTGTGATATTTCAGATCACGCCACAATGTGCATTGATACTAAACTTTTGTTGCACAAGCAAGGATGGCAGCAGCGAGAACAAAAGATTTGACTGTGGGACTGTTAGGGAAGGAGGTTAATGAGAATAGTCCACAGGTAACATGGAATGATGGCCACACCACAATACTCCTGACAGTATATGATCATTACAACACCAACATCTGCGCTGCAGTCAACATCCTGATCATCAAATATCTTGCCCAATGTCCAGCCTCAACACCAGATTCACAATTCACCATGCACATATCAAATCTTGACATCCCAATGTTCAAGTTGCATGACATGATTGGGAACTCACTGAGTCAGAATAAGTCTGTGGCACTTAGAGGTATTGGGCACCATGACCAAGATGTCGAGTTGACACTTGAATACCTGGAAGAACAATATGCAATCTCCCCAAATAGGGCTGTATGGATTCATGGTAGCATCAGTCCTCTTTGTACATGCATGGAAGTGACTGAAAGCATTCATAGATGTCATGGCACACTCTATCGATCATACACAAGTCACAAAGCAGGAGTACTGAAGTCCTTCTTTCAAGTGATGAATGATCCAAATGAAATTCAATGTGTTTTAGACATACCACTTGCACAGGTGTTGTTGCCAGACTGTGTGAGGTGAGTCACATGCATCATCATACTCTCACATTAGACATTTAATTCTTAAAGAAATATCAATCACAGCATTGTGCATGGGTGGAATGAAAACACATATGACATCCCAATCACATCAAGTGTTCACCCAGAAAACTTCACAGTCAAGGGCTGGGGGCTTGTATACCATGCTGGATACATCACATATCTGCACCACAATGCTGAGGGGATCTTGATGTGGTTAATAATGGATGTAGGGGTGAAGTTCTGGGTCTTATTATGCCCAAAGGATTGACACCATGATCGCAAGCACCTTCAAGACTTTGCCATTAGGCTAGGCAACTTTACTGAAAATGGGTCTTGGATCAGAGTGCATTGTGATGCTGAAGTGATAACACTCCTCCCTGGAGACATGTTGTAGGTGGTGTTCAATAATGGGAGACATATTCCAAAACACTTTATTATAGAATCATGCTACCATGGCAAGTCCACACCATTTACACCCCAGTGGCATCCTTCACAATGGGTGGTTATTTCTACCACTATGCATGCATGCATCTCACTGAACTGTCCTGATATTGCGATGTAACTGTGGGCAACTGCTTAACTAACCAGAATCTATATCATGCCCTTGTGTCATATCCCATATGCCAGACATACAGTGGCTCAAAAAACTGTCCGCATGTTTTGACATTTTTCACTATCTATGATATTGTGTGAGAATGAACAAATGCCTCAAGGACATGGTTATACCACATTGTAGTATGGCTTCAGGGCTTTCATTTGAGCCCTACACCGTGGGAATCGGTGGAGATACAAGGCTTACAAAATCATGACTCATGTGGACAGTTTTTTGAGCACATATTAAAACTATATAAATGATCATTTATGACACCATAACAATCATGCCACCATTAAATAAATTATAAAGTGGTGTCATTATGTCATTTTAAAACCATATCTAACTATACAAACCAAAAATTTCCATATGTCATGGTTATATTCACCATGAAAGCCACCCCCCCTGCTCAAAGGGATAATATCCTCTCTCTTTCCTATTCTGGCCTCTCTGCTTGTCAAATTTCCTCTAGAACTGGAGTATCCAAGTCCACTGTGGCCAAATTCATCAAAGAAAGTCACACAGACAAGGAAAACTTCTGTGAAGGGTGTCTATCCAAGCTCGCCTCTACTGATAGGAGGGCTATTATTCAACATATCACTACAGGAAAGGCTGATAATGCTGTCCAGGTCACCTATTACATCAATTCCACCATCACATTCCCTGTCTCTTCACACACTGTGAGAAACATTCTCAAGACAGCTCATCTCAGGTCAGTAACAAGAAAGAAAAGGCTCTCCTCTCTATCACACATATGCAGAGAGGACTAACCTTTGCCTTAGCCCATCAGAATTGGATTACATGGACTGGAAGCATGTTATATGATCATATAAGACCACAATAAATAGGATTGGGTCAGATGGCAAGGTATATATGTGAAAAAAGAAGGGTGCTAGTCCTCTCTGCATATGTGTGATAGAGAGGAGAGCCTTTTCTTTCTTGTTACTGACCTGAGATGAGCTGTCTTGAGAATGTTTCTCACAGTGTGTGAAGAGACAGGGAATGTGATGGTGGAATTGATGTAATAGGTGACCTGGACAGCATTATCAGCCTTTCCTGTAGTGATATGTTGAATAATAGCCCTCCTATCAGTAGAGGCGAGCTTGGATAGACACCCTTCACAGAAGTTTTCCTTGTCTGTGTGACTTTCTTTGATGAATTTGGCCACAGTGGACTTGGATACTCCAGTTCTAGAGGAAATTTGACAAGCAGAGAGGCCAGAATAGGAAAGAGAGAGGATATTATCCCTTTGAGCAGGGGAGGTGGCTTTCATGGTGAATATAACCATGACATATGGAAATTTTTGGTTTGTATAGTTAGATATGGTTTTAAAATGACATAATGACACCACTTTATAATTTATTTAATGGTGGCATGATTGTTATGGTGTCATAAATGATCATTTATATAGTTTTAATATGTGCTCAAAAAACTGTCTGCATGAGTCACCATTTTGTGAGCCTTGTATCTCCACCATATCTCCACCAATTCCCACGATGTGGTGCTCAATCCAAAGCCCTGAAGCAGCACTACAATGTGGTATCAGCATGTCACTGAGGTTTTTATGTATTCTCACACAATATTGTAAATAGTAAAAAATGAAAAAACATGTGGACAGTTTTTTGAGCCACTGTAGATCCCATCATATTCCCATGCTTTCCAGACCTATTTCCAGACCCCATATCTGACTCATTCCCAGATCCCCTTCTGCTGTGTGCTCCATATCTAAGCAGGATTAGCTCTGCTATGGAATTACCCCTGAGCTCCAGACCTCCAAATCCTCACTACTAGTCTGATCCATACACCCCTATCCTGTCCACCCTATGCACATTCTGTCCAGCAAGACATCCAGACTTTACCTCCTCTCGGATTCCAGACTACATCCACCACCTCACATATCTCAGTCCTGTTTCTGCCCTACCTTCCAGATCCCCAGATCTCCAGACCTATTCCCACCCTCCATCCGAGATCCTGCACCTATCCCAATTTAGGCATCTTCACCTTTCCGGTTCTTGGTTATCTCTGTTTCCATCTTGCTGATTGATCCTTGTACTAGTTTCATCTCTGAGTTCATTTACTTATATTCCATCTTACTTACCAATGTGTTTCCACATGCTTATACATAGCCTTACTCTGTTGCTTACTGATCCTCTTGGATATCCTCTAGTATATAACCCCTGTACAACTCCTGTAGAGTCCTCAGTCTGAATATCATCTTAGATCTGTCCTCACACCTTAGATCTGCCCAATCATCTTCTGGACTTCAGTCCATCTGAGTCTTGTCCTTTTCCATAAGGCCTAGGGAAGGATTCCCTAGGCCAGAATTCTGGACCTTCAGATTTGTCCCCTATGTCTCTGTCCCAAGTCTAGGGATTGCTTTCCTAGACTGGAGTCTTGCCTTTCTGGCACTTACCCTCTCTCTAGACTTTGGTCCACTTCCTGTCTCTCTGACTCTACCTAAGGGTAGTCTACCTCTGTTTTCTTCTACATCAGACTTTGTCTGATGTAGCCCCTATTCCTTCCTAACCCTCAGACCTCCTGTCCTCCATACTCTGGACCTCCTATCCTTCCATCCTGTTTCCTGTAGAAGTATTACCTTGCAGTGGGAACTCTCCTGAGCACTTCCTGCATTCCTCTGGAATTCTCCTGTGCTCCTCCAGACATTTCCCACGCTCTTCCAGAAGTCCTCCTGCACTCTCCACCAGAGTAGCCAGCCTCTGGAAGTCCTTTGGACTTTGTCAAACCATCATTGGACTTCCTCTGAAATAAAAAGCACATACTTGGGTAAGGGGCACAGGGTATGAGCTGAGGCCAAGCCCCTCTGAGTCAGTCACTCTCTCCCTTGAGCATGGTTCTTAACACCTTGAGACACTGCAACACATGATGCTTGCCATACCACACTTGTCACCTTGAATCAGTAAGACCAGTATGTTATTATTTACATAAATTTATCACTAACAATCGATGATTAGAACTGTTCAAGAGATCATTGCTCACCTTGTGTGTTATGATCACTCAAGGGAAGGCATATAGAGTGAAGAATGGCTCAATATCATCTGTGGTAGATATGGAAACAGCTGGGATCAGTGCTACAATAGCACATGCAATCTCTGGACATCTTAGAGTCACCAATCAGAAGTCCATCCCTGTCTTGCTATACAAAGGGGATCAGTTTGAAAGAGGAGAACTCATTACATGAATGGCACTTGTCCAAGTGTTGGTCCCATTTACTGCATTATAGGATTTGATGTCATCGATACTCCTCATATTCCATTGTACAATACTGACAAGACATTCCACACCACACTATCATCCTCCAATGTCATCAGAAATGATGTATACAAATGTTGGCTATGTGTAGCCTGAGGCAGGAACTTATTGTTCTATCATCAAAGATGCATTCAATGTATCAGTGTTCACAATTGTTGATATCTGGCTGATTCAGTATAAAATACATTGCTGTGATGTAGTGTGTATGGTGAATCCATCCTAAGGCTTTCAAGGTGTGCTCATTGGTGTCTGTTACAATCATGTATGCCCCTATTCATTTTCTCTCTCTTACTGTGTATTACATCATGAGCTGCATGATGCCACTGCTAGACTTATCTTTGACTCATACCTTGTATTACATCACGACCACCATTGCCATCGCTAGATGACCTATTCTTGCTATTGCTTATGCGTCCTTTATCTCTGACTCATATCTTTCTCACATCTGCCCTAAAGTACTTGTAGTTCACTATAAATAGTTCTCTTGTATGCTTTAGTTCTGCACTTTAATCTTACTAGGTTTTACCTGAAACATCCTTCACTTGAGACCTCCAATCTCTTGTCATCTGAACCATACTTTAAGTTGGAAGCACTCCTTCTGACTTAGCTTACACTGAATGCTTGACTTATCGTCTCGTGTAGAATCTCAGCAGAGGTCCTGACTCTTATCAAGTCATCTGTCATTAGAACTATCCTAGTTCATAACAAAAGATTAAAGTCCTCATCAAACCTCTCCATTCAGGGAGGCCCCAGTAGCTCAAAGCAAGACAATCCCTTGGGTTAGAAAGTATTGGTGGGAGAGCAATCTAAACAACGTCCCCAAAGAACCAGAAGAAGAATATCATGAGGCCACAGGTCCAGATATCACAGAAGGCAGACAGAGATAAACACTGTCCCCTGTAACCACTGAACCTGATCGTCACTCAACTACATCAGTAGATGGATTCCCAGAAGAACAGCCACCCTGAAACCTTTTTGCACATCCCAGTATCAGAATGTCTGCTCCTATGTCTACATCCAAGCTCAAGGCCAGAACACCCAACAACTATGATGGGAGCCCTGACCAGGCATTGAGATGGTTGTTTTTGGTGAAAGTATACTTCACTGTTAATGTGTCAGTTTACAATACCAATGAGAGAAAAGTTATTACCATGCTTGCATATATGACTAAAGATAGTGCCATGGGCTGGGCATTAACATTTTACACCGAAGTAGACAACTCCACCTCAAAATCCTACAGAACCTTTGCAAACTTTGAAATCAAGTTCAAAGAAGTGTTTGTGCTGGCAGATGCTGTTGGTACTGCTATGAATAAACTCCAAACCCTGAAGCAGATGGGTGACCTCACTTCCTATATTGCCAGTTTCAGGACCCTTGCCACACAAGCTTCCATAAAGCAAGATGCT